GCTGCATGAGTATGCTTAAATCGTACATGGTACCTCAAACTCAAAGTACTTTGGTGTTATTTAGATTATTGACACAAGGTGCATATTACTTTTAACTATCTTGGAGTTTTATAAGTTGAATAAACCAATTTAAAGCACAATGGATTTGTAATTTTCCATCATCGCGGCTGCAGGAAGACGCTGCAGCGGCATCTCTACTTTGTTAAATCTGGGGGAACCTTTGGTTTGTTATTTTGTGTTAAGTATCGTTCATGCATCTCATTTAGCCTTCAACGGTGTTCTGTACAGTTATCCGGTTATAATTCTTGTTTCTTTATAAAAAAATAAGCCAACACACAGCTTAAGGTGAACATAAAACATTTGTCTTTAAGCCTGTGTGAGCAGTAAGGTCTGACTCTCTGGTACATAATGGTTCATATGTTTTTAATAAATAGACACATGACAAATCTGTCAGAGAGATAGAGGAATGGTACAGGATTGCTTTCTCTGTACACTACCTGTCCTTTTTAGATTTGTTTTTCATTCAATTTTCTTCTTTTTTTGCAAATCAAGCCATTTGTACACAGTTTTTCTTTATAGAAATAATAAATCTTCCATTATAGGACATGTTGAGGCCTCCACATTCAATCAAGGCTGTTTCATTCTATTTACAAAGTCCTTATGGAAGGTGTTTTATTTTGAAAACTTCAGTCTGTAACGTGTGTCCTGAGTGAAAGCTTACATGCACCACCTAGACCTCAACACTTTTCATGTAGGCAGAATCTACTTAGTTAATGGAAAAGTTTCCAGCTTAAATAAAAGGCTTCCACTCTTTGAAGGCCGCAGCCTAAACATACCAAGCTCATCTCTCTCAGTCATGTTCACTAACACGGACACACTGTAGTAATGCACTCTGAGTGCAAACAGCCGAGCATGTCGGAGACACCTGTGGTGGTTCAAGGTGTCTTGCCCCTCCGTGGCCCCTAAGTGCCTCCACTCTGTTTCAACTGCACCACTGACTGAAGATGAAAGGAGCAGGCACAGAGAGAGATACTGGAATAGACAAAGATAATACTGAACCAAGTGAAGCCAACACAAGCAAAACAAGAATCCATCATTTTGTTGTTATTTTACAGGACAGCATTTCTAAAAGGTTTAGTGCCATGTCATTAGATCCCTGAGAGGTTTTATTTGAATTATCTAAGAACTATATTCACTATTTAAGACTCAAAAGTCAATTTTATCATTAAACCCGCTAAGCCTGAAGTCACTCGTGTTTTGTCCCAATAAGACCCATAGAGAGGTGAAACTGCTTGTTCAAGGCAAAGTAAAGTTAAGGGTTATTGTCTAGCAGTCTTCTGTTAAATTAGTTCAAATTCCATGCTGAAATAACCAACCCAGTCATAGAATAAACCATTCTATTTCAAGGTAGTAACACAATGTTCTTTGAGCTGCTGAAAATAAGGATTAAGTGGGCAAAAAAATATTCTCCACATGCTTTGATATATTCTTAAATATAAGTGTAACTTTAGGATTATCATCAATAGTGAAGCTTTTACTTTCAACCTAGAGACTTTTCAACTCCATGGCAAAAAATAATACAATGTTTGAATTGTGTGGCCAGTTGTATCACTTAAATATGTTAAAAAAAATTGCAAGAGGAAAGGATTAAATGGAGGCTCTGTTTTTTTCTCCAAAGTTGGAGCCAGTCCCTATGTACAGGGGGAACAGTAATGGAAAATGGACTTGAGCTTGTATAGAGACTTTCTATAGTCGTCTGACTACTCAAAGTGCTTTTACAACATAGGTTACACCTACCCATTCACACAATGATGGCAGAGCCTGCTATGTAAGGTACCCGTCAGAAGTAGCTAATCCTATTCATACAAATTGAAACGCAGAGCAACTTCTTGACCGCATGTGGCTGCAGGAGCCGGACATCGAACCCTGACCTTCCGGTTAAGAAACAACGACTCTATCAATTTAGCCACAGTCCGATGTATGTGAGAGGACGACTCCAACCCTTGCTGCCACTGCATGTCACCCGCCCTGTCCCTTCCTCATATCTCTGGTCACTCTTCCTGTCGAATCAATAAAGGAAAAGCCAAAAAATAGAATGATGATAAAAATGCCTCTCATGTAAACAACTTCTACTACAGTAAAACATTTGTTCACAGGGTCTCTTTTCCCTACAGTAAGTGACAACTTTTCTTTGCACCATTAACTCAAATTAGTCTCAGACCATTTAGCCAAAACTGATTACGCAGGAACAGTTTTTCTGTTACATGGTTAGAATTTAGCAAACTCATTTCGCTCAAGTCATTTCACGTTTATTTTGAGCTGTGAAAGAAGATGGCAGGTTTCTGAGAACAATGGCACAAAATATGCAGAGAGTATCTACAGGGGGGAGGCAGGTCGTTCATCGATGATTCAGAGATTACCTGACCAGACTTCCTGAACTCCCCTGTGGCCCTCACGAGCTCCGCAGGAACAAAACTCGCTGCCTCTGTGTGATGAGCTAGAATGTCTTTCCCCTCATAGAACAGTAACTTTCTGAAGTCAAAGCTCTCAAATGTGGCCTCATATTCCACTAAATAGTACGTCACTCATAGAAGCTTCTGTGGCAGCTATTTTCAGCTATTTCCTCTGGTTCGCTGTGTTATTCTAAGCGGACCGATGATTTACTAAAATATCACCAGCTTATCAGCTTTTATTGCCTTCTGCTTTCACATGAATTCCTTATTAATGACTTTAATTTTCTACAGCCTAATAAAAAAAGACTTTAAAAAATAAACCCTAAGGGTTGTGTGTGAGGTGGGGAGTTGCTGATAATGGACCAGAGTCTCAATAGACTGAACTATTTCAACCTTATTACAGTAGTAACCACTTTCCCTTTGGATTTAGTTTTTATTAACAACTTGATATCCTGCACAAACCAACTTTAATTACTAACATCTTTCCATTTCTAAAAGGACTCCACATTTCAGCCAAATGACTGCTTACTGCAGTTGACTTAAATTATGATTACAGTAATAAACACCACAATCTTTCAAATACATCGGGAAAACGTCACTTTTTTATTAGACGTTTAGTCATAATCAGCTATTTCATTGAGCAAAAATGATAATATAAAAGGTTCGTAACATCATGAATGACAGCGCCTTTGACCAATGTGGCTAATGCATTGCCGTGTGAGAATAACCGATGAGGAACAGCGAGAGCAAATGTAACTAACACTCTACAAACCCAGTCGTTCAACTTTGCACAAGGCTGTGTCGACCTTACGAGTCCTAGCTTTGTTGTCTGTGAGTTAAATATGTGTTTTGGTTTAGCCGTAAGGGGTGCAGGGGTCTATCGCAGCACCATCAGCCATCAGACTCTGGCTCCAAATAACATCAACAGCTCAAGATGTCAGCACACACGTCACGATTCCTTGATGGCGTAACATTTTCCAACTTCTTTTTTGAAAACATTTTCCAAACCTAAACCTCCAACTGATGGAAAACTTAAAAAAAAAAAAAACATTGATATTCAAAGGATAAAAACAAGGTGACATTTCTCAAACCCCACAAATATCAATGTGTTTCACTTCTAAACCATGATGAAAGAGGAGAAGAAACCTGCTTTCCACTTATTGTTGCCACAGATTTTACTTTAGCTGCTAATGAAACAGACTGGTGTTAGAAATGATGGATCTTTAACCTACAAACAGAAAACCAGACCACCGGGAAGTTGATTGATTATTTATATAAAGGTATGTGTTGCTGACAAGGAGATTAATTAACAATATGCTGCTGTAACAGACTTCTTTACACATTGTTCATGTCAAAAATCAACAGTACCATGAAATCCGGTGTATAAGACACACTTTAAATACTTATTTTTTTATCTTAAAAGTTGGCTGCGTCTTATAGACCAATGCGACCAATACACCAGTATAAAACGCTGACACACGCCTTCATTACTGCGGTTACAGAAGCCACCAACAATGCGCACGAGCTGACGCAATTAAAAAAAAAAAACATCCCAATCCATTGGCTACAAGCTCTTTGTAAAGAGAATTCACAACAATGCTGGAAGATAACTTCACTGAACACTCCCAGTTTAAACAGTCTGTGTAAAAGGGGCTACAGTTAAGATTCAGTCACCGTCGTTTTTTGGGTAGATTTCTATTAAACTAAGGTTTAAAACATGAGAAATCATATAATACCCAATTGAAACATTTGCGCCAAGAGACATGATGTTTATGAAGTATGAGTTGAATTATTGTCTTCATTCATTGTACATATCAGTCTTTGCTTATTTTGTGTTTGTAGTTGTATTTAATGTTGTACTTTTTGTGCATAGTGACCACAGATCAACAAGTCAAATTCCTTGTGTGTGTTAGCATACCTGGCCAATAAAGCTGATTTTGATTCTGATTCTGATTCGCTGCTGCTGCTGCTGCTGCCATCTCTTAATGGATTACAAATCAAAGTGAATAAAACCTGTAAACCCTGGATGACCCTGCGAAAAGTTTCAGAACATTTAATGTAATCAGCAGATTGAACGACCTTCCATCTGGAAAGCAGAGAGCCTGATGAATAGTCATCCATAATTTGACATATTGGCAATTTCGATTATAAAGTAGAGAGGAGCCAAGTCCTTTTAAGTATTAGCGACAAATTTGTGGTTTTCTCTTTTTAATTAATTTTTCCACATACATAAACTCTAGTTTGACAGCTCTGTTCAATTTTATTTTCTATTTACACATGAACAACTAATCAGCCTGTTCCACACACATAACTCCACCTTCAGACACCTCTAGAGGACGCAGAGCCTGGCACAAAGTAGCTGGATGTCTCCCCAAATTACAAATGCAACTCAAACTTCACCTTAATTCATTAAAACAACTTTTGTCATGAAAATAAGAGAAGCTATATTTCACATTAACAAAAGTAATGATTAAAATATTAAATGGCTCACTTTAAGAAAAAACACATTTGACTTTTTTTCAAAAAAATCATAATTTAATGCCCAACCATTTAATGTCAATAACCTGTACTAACTTAACAAATCTGCTTCCATTTAAACAAGTTCAAACATTTAAAAAATAAAAATAAAAAAAAACATCCAACTGTCACAATCCTGATGTTGGCATTTTATCTGAACCTAAGGCCATAAGGCTTCTTTTCTCTAAAGAACATAAGGCTGCTCTGTGTCTTAGAAAGCAGAAGGGTTATGAAGCCTTTAATGTCCTCCATTATTTTAAATATAAAAACAGCAAACATTAATGGGATCACGTCAATGCCGTTCCTGTCCTATCCATCCTGGTGGACTTGTCCTGGTATAAGAGCTTCACTCTCTAGTCCTGCAGCTGAGGTGAACGGTGTGATTGTTTCTAAAGACAGTTCTGGGTCGTCCTCCAACTGGACATTAGCTGGAAGCAGCAGCAGCCTGTTGTGGCCCCTGGAGCCATTGGAGATGATCGACTCCTCATCGAACTGGGCGCTCATATCATCCATGTGGTCAGACCCAACGTCAATAGTGCGGGCAAGCTGCTGTGGCTGCGCAGGGACCAGCTGCTCCTTGTGGAGCGTTGTGTCATGGTGGTACGAAACGAGCTCATCGCTGAAGTTCACAGCCTCCACCGTGTTGTTCGTGCAGATCTGGTTGCAACCCAAAATGGTGGAGAAAGCTCGGCGGAAGTCAGCATTGAATGCGTAGATGACCGGGTTGAGGGAGGAGTTGGCCCAACCGAACCACACGAAGACGGTGAAGGTGGTGTCGCTGACGCAGGGAGGGTCACAGAACGGGACAGTGCAGTTGAGGACGAAGAACGGCAGCCAGCAGAAGACAAACACCCCCATGATGATGGAGAGCGTCTTCAGGACTTTAGTTTCTTTCTTAAAGGATGACTTCAATGAGGCTTCATCGTTGGGCCTGTGATGCTGCTGCTGCTGGTTCCTGTTCACTCCGAGGCCTTGGTTCTGCGCCTGCTCCGCCGCCCTCTCCAAAGAAGTGATCCTGCGGATTTGGGTCTGAGCAATCCTGTAGATGCGAGTGTAGGTGGCGATCATGATCACCACTGGGATGTAGAAGCTGATAAGTGAGGAAGAGATGGCATAAGTTTTGTTCAGGTTGGCCACACAGCTCTTGGCGATGGAGCTGGCGTTGAGGTTGATGCTGCTGTTTGTAATGTTCCTGCCACTGGAAATCAGCAGTTCCACCATCTCCATAACGTCTTTGTCATCCTCTTCCCCGGCCTGGTGCCAGTTCAGCTGCACAGGAATGAAAGAGATCAGGATCGAAAGTGTCCACGCCACCCCTATCATGACAAACGCCACCCGGTGAGTCATCTTTCGCTCGTATTTGAATGGGCTTGCGATGGCCCAGTAGCGGTCCACACTGATGATGCAAAGGTTCAGGATGGAGGCTGTGGAGCACATGATATCAAAGGCGATCCAGACCCCACAAAAACGTCCAAACAGCCATGTGCCGGTCACTTCTGTTATGGCCTCCCATGGCATCACGAGCACGGCCACAAAAAGGTCAGACACTGCCAGAGAGATGACAAAGAAGTTGGTGACTTTGGAGCGCAGGTGACGGAAGCGGACCACGGCGGCGCACACCAGAGTGTTTCCAAGCAGCGTAGAGACGATGAGTAGGAAGAGGACGCAGCCGATCAGGACACGCAGACCGCCGCTCCCTCCACCGGCACCGCCGTCGTCATCGTCCTCTTCTTCCTCTCCACCCGCGCCGTCCAGCTCCGACAGAACTTGTGTGAAATTATTCCACGTCGTGTAGTTTTCCATTTCTCGCCACTGAAAGCGTAATTAAAATGTATTTAAAGGTGATACAAATCCGCGCGTAAAGCCGCTTTTCTTTCCACGAAATGCTGACTCACAAACCATCCTCCGAGCTTTCCTGAATAATAAAATTAATCAGGAAAGAGGCGGCAGTCCTCAATAGAATTCCAGTTTGATACATTTTGCATTCAGCTTCTTTCAGAAATCCTTACTCCGGACAGCTGATGCGTAAGTCAATACCAAGAAAAAGCGCTCCTCTAGTATTTAACCACGGAAATTGAAATAATTGCATTTATTAAATGACAGATCATAAATCATCAGTAGACTACTGATGCTAATTGATCCAGACGCAGTTAAATGTCTCCACAGGGGGTTAAGAAAGGTCTATGTCCCGCTGTGTTGTCCCAGTGTGACTCACAGTGGACTCACCTCTCTCTCTCTCTCTCTCTCTCCCTGTGACGCGCTCTCACTCAAAGTCAGGTGGAAGCTGCCGCGGGGCTCGATTCCTCTTCAGCGCAGGTAATAGATTACTGTTGTGCCACATAGTGGGGAGCCTTTTGTCTTTTCACTTGACCGAAATAATAGAGAATCAATAGTTGAATGTATGAATTCAACAATAATTTACTAAAGAATCACGATTTATGTACAAGAGAAAAAAAGATTTGGCAAAGTATCGTGGACAGATTTTCCCTCGTGCGTTCCTGAGGGAATTAAACAAACAGAGAAAATCAGATGATTACATCTTTTATTCCCGTAAACATTGTTTAACATTGTTAACATTCTCACTATGGGCTTAAAATGACATGTGACAATGTCTGTGTACTGAGTTTATTTTCTTCCACAGATTCAAATATTCTCTGTCTGTGTGTCCATTGTGATAATACTTACAGGACCTGGTTGGACTCCAGACCTCAAATAAACTAGAAAGACATTAGTTAGCCTCAGGCGAAGACAGAAGTTCAATTTTATCAACATAAAAACTATCAGGTAGATCTATTTGAAAGAAAGACAATAAAATCCCCTTTCTGATCCATCACTTTTTTGCGACGACATCAGCATTTCCATTTAATGGTTCTTTCTGCAGTATGGAACCATTTGAGGACTGTTATCTTGCTTGTTTGTTAGTTTGTTTGAATCACCCTTTAGTTTGTTCATTTGGATCCCCTTTAGCTTCAGCATAGCGAGTAGCTAGGAGAAGAATAGTTATAGATCTCATGTTCTTTTGGAGCTAATGGCAGATAATTATGTTGGCCCTCTGCTGGAGTTTTTTTTTTTACTCATACAGTTTGTTTTATTTTTTTTTAGAATATATTTTTTTGGTAAAGTCAGTAAATTCTGATTACATACCATCAGCTTAAGGGTAAGTTTTACTTAAGATAATGGAAAGAATACCAGACTACACTTTTTAACCAAAGACAGCCAAATAAAATTCATATCAAACATTCTGGTTAGGTCAATGGGCATTGATTATGGAGGGAGGGAAAAGAGTGAGAGATTCTGGTCAAAACAAGATCAAACCATTAACAGAAGACAAATATTTAGCCTTGTTGAGTGAATACCTCTGGAGCTCAATGAGACCTGGAGGCCAGCGACAGTTTTTTATTCACACACCACTTTTCAAAGTGCCCGAAGCAGAGAGTCATTTAGGAAAACTACAAGTCAAGGGTAGAGTCTGCTTTGAAGAGAGAAAGTCGAGGCATTTGTTTTCATTCATCAAATCTAAAAAGGATTTCATTTTTGTGTCTGTCTGAATAATAACCCCGTATTTGCACATCAAGCACTGACCGTGAAATAACATGTGTAAAAGGCAGTCAAATCTGTGTGTACACTCGTAGAACACAGGAGTTTGCCTTGAGTCAGAACAGCACATGTGAAGTTTGTTCTCGAAAACTTTATGGAGCCAATCACCTTTCTGAATGACCAGAGATGATAACAGATGCAAAAGACAGTTTAAAATGTGTAAAGCTGAAACAATTAGAGTAGAACATCTTCCTCAATTAGTTTCATCATTTAGTTTGAAGTCTTTCATCTGGTGAAACATCAAGTGAATGTCTCATTTAAGGCTGAGGCTGTTATTGGACCATTATTGTATTTCACAGCAGACTTGCCCTAGTTTGTAAAGCTAAATGTACCCACTAGATGGCGCCAACTGCATGCTGTTATTTTTCAACACAAATGTTCTAAAGGTAATGCAGATTGATCAGTTCTGCCTCCCCCTCTTTCATACTTTTAGTTTATATTATCTGATAAACGGGTTTTGGCCCTGATAGTCTTTCATAAGATATTACATTTACCCCTGAAGTTGAAAACAGGAATGCAATTTTCTTTCCTAGTTATTTTCCATATATTTGTTTTTCAACATCTGTATGTCTGTTGATATTCTTTCTTTATTTAAGGCTACTGTATAGAGTTCTCCCTTTGTGATGATCTTGGACAAAGCATGACAAAGCACAAAGTATGTGTCATCTCTTTGTCTATCTTGACCTTTACATGTAGGGGTTACATTACATATTTTCAGATAAAAATCTCATCCTGCTAGCTTTGAAAAGTCAAAAATCATATTCTGAGAGTGTTAATCGTAGACAATCTAAACAAATGCTGTTAGGCAGCATGCTGTTGGTTGTCCTGATGACACCGTCACAGTGGTCTCTGTAACAGACATTTAAAAGTCAATCTTGTCTCTGATGGTCTTGATTTAATTCGTATAGGCCATAAGGGGTCATCCGTACTAATTGCAATGTCTTTCAAAAAACAGCTAAAATGTCCTCACAAGAGCTTCAATGACTTTAACATATGTCTTGTTCTTTTACAGATTATTGCTTTGTTATTAAATATTAAGTGGCTGACAAAAGCTAGCTGCAACTACCCAAAAATGTAATTAGGAGAAACATGCAAAAAATGATAATAATAAAAAAAAAAAAACACTTACAAAATTACAAAAGCAAGAAGCCCTGAAAAGTTTTGACAGACAGTCAAGTTGTTGCTCTGTGTAGTTATCATGGTTTCACATAGGCTATATATAAAAAGTAGTGGCCTTTAAATGCACTATTTTCATCATCGTCCAACATAAAAACATGATCGCTTCTTCTCTGCTTTGGCTTTTCATGTGATTTAACCTTCATGCCAAAAGTAAGAGTGAGCACAGTTGAGGGAAACATTTAAAGGATTTTCAGTTTCACAAGTCCTCTGAAGGCATCAAAACACTGATTACGAAGGTGCCCTGGAGCCTTGAAATGAAACTGTCCTCAAATGAACTTTCATAAAACTAACTTCCATAAACATGAATAAGTGTTTGTGTACCTGGAGATCAAAGTCATTTCAATCTGTGTGTGTGTGTGTGTGTGTGTTTGTCTGTCTTTACGTTTGTACACAATAGCATATTCAACGTTTATTACGTTTATAACTGCGTCTGTGTGTGTGTGTGTGTGTGTGTGTGTGTGTGTGTGTGTGTGTATGTGTGTGTGTGTGTGTGTTTGTCTGATGGCATACCTGCACATACCTGAACATTATGCCTTTTTTACAACATATACTTCTTTGTGGCTGCTACTGTACACTTAGTTCTTAGTAATTAATTTGTACCTGTATGCATGTGTAAGTGTGTGTTGGCGTGCACTTTGTGGCAAGGTGAAGGCAGTCATCTCTGACGCAGGCGGGTTGTTCGGCCTGGACCATGGCCCATCTCCTCCTCACCTGTCGTTATGCCCACTGGCAGATTTGGCAGCAGCTGTGGGTTCAATGCCGAGGTGAATAGTTGAAGCTCTAATCACTGTTTTTGGAATGTTGAGGGGCGGGGCTGGTGCTTAGAGTAAGTGTGTGATGTTTGTGTATACATTTTCAGAGTTCTTTGTGTATATCATTTTGAGTGCGTGTGTCTCTGAAAAAGTGTAGCTTTTAATTTACCCTTGATCGAATTCGATTGTGTGTGTGTGTGTGTGTGTGTGTGTGTGTGTGTGTGTGTGTGTGTGTGTGTACTATGGATGGTGTGTGTATGGTAAGGTTGAACTTGCATGAACACACCTCAGCGGCTTCATCCAAAGGTTGAGCGTCTCTCTCTGTCGGAGGCGTCTCGCTAACATAAACAGAGTGTTGAAGTTAACAGGGCGCGGCTCACCTGCAGCTAATCTGGATAATTAAAAAGAAGATCAAGAGAAACTGGATTTATCTTCTCTGTAAACTATGCAGAGCTAGGAGGCTGTTAGATTACAGAGCGAGAAGAAGTGGGTCATTGAAAAATAAACTTGTTGTTCATTTTAAAGCACAGTCCCATTGGCTGCACCAACATTTCAAATCACTACTGACTCATATGTTAAACATATTTTACTCCTTCCAGATACCAAAGTCTGAATTAGTTTCAGTTCATAATAAAAAAAAAACTTGTAGGGACTTATTTTACATCAGGAGGCGTATCCATCTCTCGGAAAATGGTCACCATTTAGTAAATAGAATTAAAATCAACTTTAACATTTTAAAAATTCTGAATTATATAGTCATTAGTGCCTATTGTCTCAACGAATAATTACCAAATAACAAAATAAATAACAAAACTGTCTTCATCATGTTAAAGTTTGTTTGATAAATCAGTCAACAAATCAATCATTCTGTTTTTATCCATTAAGCAATGTGTCCACTATTGAGAAAGAACCTGACTTCTCTTCTTACCTTTCTATTGAAAGCACAGAGGTGACGTCAGAGATTTCAAGTAGAAAATTTTAACCAAGAACAGCAAGCGCAAACCTGCGCTGCGCCCAACTCAGCGGCAAGGAGCTACACTCTTGTACGGAGCAACACAATAGACAATGAATGGGCTCGACAGCGGCACGCAGCGGCCATCGCATTCTACCTGAAAGGCCCTTTAACACCGTGTCCTAACAGCACGCGAGTGTTACATGTTGTGCAGCAACAGACGCTCACTGTCCACACTGCAAGTGTTAAATATTGGACGTGTCATCGTATCTAACAATATGTAGATTCCGGAATCAGGGGCGTTTTCTCTGCTGTTTAAGAGGATATTATTTAACTATTTCCAACCTTATTTCTATCATCAATATTTCCTTATCATTTATTTAGCTCCTGTCAT